CTAAACAGAGATAAACACTCAAATGACATAATATAGTTTGGAAGTATATGAAATACCATTTGGAGGGAATTTAGGTCAGATTTCAACTTCGGCTAATTCATGATCAAAGAATATATCCTCTATGTCGCTGTTTTTGCTTCCACATCAAATGGTCAGCTGCTCATTTCTGATTGGTTGCTGAAACTACGATCACAAGATGGCTTAAGCAAGGCAAAACAACCAGCATCACAAGTCCCAATGACCTCTCTTGTATATCGCGGATTCGGACATTCCTCCTTTTTTTCGCAGTGCCTCCATTTTTCCTCTCAATTTCTCTTTCCTGCTTTCTGGCATCAATTTGCCAATTATCTAAGCTAACTTCTGGTCTTCACACTCTTTAAACGGGGCTGCTTTTGTTAGCCTTAAGAAGATAGTCAATTCTGGTGGGGGGGGGGGGGGGGAAGGAGAGGGTAAATAGACCGGTTTATCTAAGTTTCTAAAGTAAGCTTGTTTGTGATTAGAATAGTCCCTGGTTTCAACCTGGATACTTTACTACCGCAATGCCAAAGACACGTTCAACTTTGAAGTAGGAGTGTAAAATGTAAATAACAAATAAATGCAGCATGCTTTAAATTAATGAAAATACCAAGTGGTTTGGCTTACTGTATTAGATTACTGTTTCAATACAATAATGGCAAGAAATAGAACCAAGTGTGATGTCAAACGGAAAAAGTAAATATTAAGCATTGACAAAATAAAATATAATTCCTATATTTTATTTCAAGGAAAATTTACATTGATCAATGGATTAGCACAATTTGTCTTTATTTTTCTTTGTCATGTTGAAATGTCCTAGAGAATGGACTGACGGAATCGATAAACGCTGATGGAAATACATAATGTGCCTCAAAACCAATGTCATCACACTAACAATGACATTAAAGTGTGCAAACACAACATAATGTGGGGATTCACATGTGAAAGTTGTCAATACACAATTAAAAGTAGTTCTAAAAAACTTCTATTCAGGACAGGCTAATAATTTCAATAACCCATAGTTTCTTCTCACTTCCAAATAGGGCCTTACAAATAAGCAACTAACTCCTCCTTTACATGGTCCCTCTGCCCAAGGCAATTCGTGTGGGAAAAACAGTTTAAATGACCTCGCAACCTTGTTGATTCTCCCTCAATCAAGCTCTTTCTAAATTCTCTGTAACACCTTCTATGATTATTGACCTTGAAATGGGGCTTGGATGGCAGATCCCTGACGTTAGCTCTGTAAGGACAGTATATTTCCCTAATGACTTGTCTCCCCTCTACTAAGCGAGTTAGATTATGTTTAAAAAAAAACAGGTATCATAACTTTTAAGGCAAATGCATATTTACATATGAGCCCATCAACGTGATGCAGAACTTTCGATATTTAAATCGACATGAAGGCAAAAGTTG